AATTTGGAAAATCAAGTATATAAATTTTAAATTATCTGATATTAATTATTCTATTTGTTAATAATTTTTAATTTTGAAATTGAATATGACGAATCCAGGAAAATTGAATAATCATTTTTGAATTTAACCAACGACCAACGGAGAACTTTTTATTGATTTACGATTTTCAAATACAACCATTAATATTTTTTATTTTTTACGATTTTTTAACCAACTAATTTTTTTTTTTTTTTTAGCTATTTCGTTAATTTATTTCAATATTTATTTTATTAAATTTCTGATTAATTCAATAATATGAATTGAGAATATCAGCAGCAAAAAATTTATAATGTTTATACCGCAAAATCGGAGGTCCAGTGGAACTTTGTACTCTGATTTTGCGGTAACTATTATCTTTAATATCTTTCATGATTACTGACGCACGTATAAAAAAAAAATTTAAATAAATCACTTATTGCTGACAATAAACAAATCTTTCATAATCATTTCTTTTTACAAAATTTCCCTTTACTCAAAAATATTTTAATTTTGTTTATTATTTGATTAATTTTAAATTTTTTAAAGTTTTTAAATAATCCACATGTATAATCTAAAAACATCATAAAATTTTGAACTTAAAAAGCAATTTCATTTTATCAAAATAAGTTGTGTTTAAAATACAGAAAAGCAACGAAGAATTGGTTTAAAATCTTAAAAATTTTCGTTATTATGAACATCTCAAAATTTAGAATACATAAAATTCGAGACGAGATTATAATATACATCCATTATTTATTTCTTAAGTTTATGTTTCTAAATAATAACAATAAAGAAAAGGCACCATTGTATAGTATTTACAAAATTTAACTTATATTTTAACTAGGTTTATTTAGCAATGAAATACTTACTACTTTAAAATAATCCTTTTAATATGTTAAATCATGCAAGCATAGAGGTTGGAACCGGCCAAAGATTCTTTGATCGGTTATGTTAACCTCTTTAACTGGTTAATTAACGGGTTAAATTATCCGGTTCCAATCTGCAAAATGATATACTGAATATTTGATATTTTCCTAGAAATTTCAATATCACTGAAATTAGTAAACGGGAATATAAATTAATACTTCGTCAAAGATAAATCATAAATTTGTTAATTTGTTAATTCAACATTCGTAATATTAAAATCTACTTTTCGTCATATTCATCACTTCAAATTGGGAAATCCTTTGAAACTCATTTACATTAATTCTAAACATAATTTAAAGCTCGTGATCTTTTTTTACTGATGTAATTATCAACAAATCATCACTAATTAGGATCTGTAGAACTTATGCTTACCATATAAAACGTTCCTATCGAAAGAAAAGGCAGGAGTGAGAAATAAAGTTATATAATTGTTCGACTTTTATTTAAAGTGCGATATGATTCATAAGGCGAAACCGATATTTAAGCCAGAATCTAAATTTTTATTAATATAAATATTTAACTTAATATTCTCAGTTATGTAATAAATCATAATAACGCAAATTTTCTCAAATATCATGAATATTTGGTTTTTATATTTTAGAAATGACTGTAAAATTTTTGCTTATAGCGCAAAAAAAAAGATGCCAGGTTTATACAATATACAAAATTCTGACTAAATTAATTTCATTTTAATGCTGCTGTTAATTGAATATTACATTTCAATCCATTTAAACAACGTTTTGTTTCCATATTAATTACGAACTTTCAAGAAACCTCTTTTTATAACCAGGAAAATATTCAATAATTTTTATCAATAGTCTACTTTAACTATTTACTTGACCTTCTTTTGAATTTGTTCAATGAGCTAAGTTGTAGTACCAAATATAAATTAGATCTAACAATGAATTAATGTCTAGAAATGTTCTGCTGTGCACCTGTTGATTATACATCGAGCTCTGTCAGGAAAAGTGTCTGCTTTTGCAATTAGCTAAGTCTAAGGATTGGGACATATTGGTGTAGTCACTTTCGACGTGACTGTTAAGGTAGCGAGAAATCTATAATAAAATTGTCAGTATCCTAATTTTTGACAGCATTATAAGTTTAACATTCCCTTTGTATCGAAACTTTTAATTTTACCTTGCAGTAAATCATCAAGATTAAATACTTTTGTTCCCATGAATTCCGCCGAAATACAATATTATAATTTCGCATGTAGATCATTTTTGATGCCTTTTTTTTTTTTTTGTATAAGTTTGAAATCCTTAAACAACTCAACATACCACGGTCCGCCCTTATACTTTATAATTTTAACATTATACTCCATTAACTCCATTTATTTTATTTCTTATTTTATTATATTTTAATTTTGTATTTGCATAGTTTTGTTAATGACTAGCATATATTTAGTTAATATATTAACATTGAGCGCCGACGTTAAGGCAACACTGATTAATTGATATTTTTATCGTCACTATTACTTCATTTCTTATTAATTAAATCCTTCTGCTTACAAATACAAATTGCTTATAAGCGAAAAAACAATATCCATAATTTTTTATTTTCCAAAATTTAATTTCTGCAACTTCTGGCATAAATATATTTGCCACTTAATGACAAACCAAGCATGAAATGATTCTCGAGTTATTTCTTTTTATCAAATGTTAAGTCTTCATATAAATGATCAAAATCAACATGAAATATTTGGGCCGGGAAACTTAATGTCTAGTTGTAATTTTCGGACATTTTGATATGCTAAATCTTACTAACCAAAATTGATCAATAAATAATACTTTAAAAAATATATATATAACCCATAAATATTTAATTAATAATTAAATTACAATGGATAAATTATATATTAATTGTAATTTCGTGTTAAGAGATGATATAAAGTTATATAAAGACGAAGCTGATTATTAAAATGGAAGAGGCATCGATCAATTAAAAATTTTATAACAAACGATAATTTAACGAGGTTAAAAAGGATAAGATTTATTAAGAATTAAAGGACACAACAAAAACTAACGATTACTGTCTCATTTGGTGCTCGGTTATAGGCCTTTAACCAGATTCCTCAATCGACTAAAAGACATCTAAAAATATCGTTTTAATTCTTCCTTAAAAAAGATCATTTAATTTAGGGCTTTGTGGTCTGAATCAACTATCTGAAGGCGGAATATTCTCCCGATTTGTCAGAAAAAACAAAACATTTGATCGTCGCGAAATAATTTTTCGAAATCAAGCGCAGTCTAACGCTAATACATCTTTATTATATAATTTATTAGATAAAGATAATTATTTTTACTTTTATATATACTTACCCAAACTTTCAACATAACACCGAAAAAATAAAACAAATCTATGGATTAAATCACGTTATCATATGATTGTATTATAATAATCAACATCCTTACAAATACATTCCTCTTAGTTAAGATATATGATTTTTTCGGATATTTTCTTTAATTTTAAACGAAAATGAAGACGCTAAATTTTATTTATAACATCATTGTATGCTCACAAATACGTCGTATAAAATTTTCCGTATTAATTTTTAGGTTATTTTCGATTTTTTTTTTCTTTTATCAAACTTATATACAGAGGTTTATAATAAATATTTACTTAAATTTCGTCACATGATAATAAGTATTTGAAATATATGAAACAAACGATTGAGAACTTTGATAAATGTAAATTTTTATTAATAAGTTCATATGTAAAATTGTTTTTACATGAAAATAAATTACTACTTTGCCATTATTTTTGAAGCGCTAAATTTACGTTATGCTTTGTACGATTTTTGAAAATCAAAATAAATGTATTAATAGTATTTCCAATAAAATTTATTGAACGAGAAGTCGAATGGTATAACATAAATTAATGTTAATAATGCGTATTTATAATAAAAAAAAATTATTGGCATTTATAATTATATGACAAAAATATATCAAGAGATTTTTTCGTTATACAACACTCTTTGCAATATCTGCCTACTTTAACGGATTCTGTTCATGTGTTAATAAATAATTGCAAATTGAGTAAACTCTGACGTGAAGTCAAAAGAGATTTATTCATTTGAATAATGCTAATACATTACAAAGAGTGTAAATGATTTCCAAATAAATAAGTTCCTTTTTTTAACGCAGATTAGAAATGTACGAAAAAACGGTCTTATTTCCTTTAAAAACTCACTAACAATATAAAAAATGATACAAAGTTAACGTGCGTGCATATAAGCTCGTATTTTATTAAGTTATTTGACAAAAGCTTATTTTTAAATTTTGATAATTCATTTGTAATTTTTACGAAGATAACAAAGAAGTACGAATAATAAAGTTAGTAATGGTTATTATAATTTTAAAGTTTATTTTAACTCTTACCAATAATTAATAATTTTGAGGCTTAAGAAGCATTCTTGATAATTAACGGCACAATTCGATACTTAGTTGGTCATTTTATGAAAAATTTATAAAAAGAAAATTTATGTAAGTAGTGGTCAAATGCAATTTTTGTTGTGTATTTAGTTACAGTAAATTTTAAGAGTACATTAAGTATCTTTAGGTTTAATCTTAACTTGTTGAAATTAAAATCCTGGATAAATTATCATAAAAATGGGTAAAAGAAAAGGCTGCATTTTAGAATGCTCATATTATCCCATGTAAAAAACTTTCGTAAAATCTTTACTGACAAAATATAAATCAAAAAATTTAATATAATAATAGATATCTTTTATTACAATAAATAACAAATTAGTAAGAAACGTGATAAAATAAATATATAGCTTTTTACAAATATTGGACGTTTGGCATAATATATGATTTGTTTTTGTGAATATAAACTTACCATTTACAGCATCATTTTAGAAACTATCACGTTTCAAGTTACATTATGCATATAAATTGCAAATTGATTGTTATTTATGTAAAAAAAATAATATAATTAGTGTTGAACATATAAAAGAATAAAACATAAAATATTTGATAAAAATAAAAAAAATAAAATTAATAAATATCAAGACTAGAAATATGTCCCCTCAGATTATAAATTAGAAACATTCATGTTAAAACTAATTTCGAACGTTTGATGTTTCCATCCAAATTTTGAAAGCTTTCTTCTATTTTCTCCTCTTCATTATTTCCAACAATAATTTTAATCTCGTCATTTTCATAATAGTGCTTTTTGATATTTGCTAATTTTTCATTAAAATTTGTAAGATCGTTAAACGATATTTCTAGGTTATGAGCCATCTTGGGGCACGGTAATAGCTTTGGTTTTGTATTTGGAAGAGTTCTGAACTTTCTAAATATCTTATATTGAAAATGTAATTCTTGAGAAATATTAATACAAAATCCATTCATCCTTTCCTTCATATGCCAATGGCCAGAATGAAATCCGGGAGAATGACCTCCCCTATTAGTATTATCTTCGTCAGGATAATTGTCATTATGTTGATGTGACCAGCACTCTCCTTTACGATCACGTACTTTCTTTATATTCCATTTATTTAAAGTGGATTTAACATTGTGAGCCTTTTTTATATTACCTATTAAATTAGAAAATGCTATCATAAAACCCTTTTCCACACTATTTGAAACTTCAATCACTGGGTATTGCTGCTTTGGCTGTGATTCACCTACTACCACGAATGCATTTTCAGGTATTGAAGAAACACGAACTTTAATAGAATGAAGTAAGTAACCAACACCTTGATTTTTAAGTGATTGACAATTATTACTAAGCATATTTCCTATTCCACAATCATTTACTTCAATATCAAATTTTAGGTTTCTAACTGTCATTTCATGAAGTTCACGAGTAATTTCTACCCAAAAATTAGCCGTGATGTTAAAATCTTGAGAAATCCTTGAAGTGATACTTTCGGCATTTATTATAGAATTAACATAGATTCTTTTATTTCTGCTATTGTCAACATTATCATTACTATCACCATCATCGCCACCACCATTACCATTAGCATTACCATCACCTTCACCACGATCATCATTACTACCACTATCATCATCTTTACTACTATTATTATTATCACTATTCTTATCGCCATTATCGTTACCATTATTACTCTCATTATTATCACTATTAGCGTTATCATTACCATTATTATCACTATTACCATTATCACTATTTCCGTCATCATTACTACTACTATAAAAATTACTATTTTTACTATTATTTTCATTAATATCGTCACCATTACTTGATTTATTTATAGGAATTACTTGATATATAATTTCATATTGATCATCAAACATAGTTTCAAGACATTCTAAGACTGAATTATCAAGAGGTTTAATAACCCAACAAATAATGCATGGTTTAGCAGAAAATTTTTGAAAATCAATTCCTATCCCATAAATAGGTTGTGATTTCAACATACAGTCAATATCACTTTTTCTTCTACTAAGTAATATTTGTAATTTTTCAACTTCATTATAAGAAATGGCAGAAGTACCGGGAGAAATAGTTGCTTTTACTGAAATAAATTCTGAAATAGCTTTACAGTCTGCATTATTTCGTACTTTTGATTCATTAATATTATTATAATTGATAGTTTGCTTTGTAATTTGATTATCAGCTACCGATTAAATATAATTAATAAAGGTAAATTGTTTTAATATATAATAAGTAAGTAAATTTACATACCTAATAATTCATCATTTCCAATAAATAACTTATTGTCTTCTCCAGAAAATTTTTGGTACCATTCTAATGCTTTATCTTTACTACTTTCAATTCCTAACCCATATCGATAAAAATTGCCTAAATTATATTGCGCAAGTTTATCACCGTTTTCTGCCGCTTGTTTATACCAATGAAAAGATTTTTTCAAATCTTGTTGCGCACCTATGCCATTTTTATATAGAAATCCTAAATAACTTTGTGCTTCACTATTTTTTTGTTTAGCTGATTTTTTAAATAACTTTAATGCTTTAACTACATTTTCTTTAACGCTACATCCATTTCGATAAAACATACCCAAATTATATTGTGCAAATTTATTTCCATTTTCTGCAGCTTTTTGATACCAGTAAAATGCTTTTTTATAATCTTTTTCTATTTCTATACCATTTTCATAACAAAATCCTAAATAATATTGTATATCGTTATTATTTTTAGCTAATTTTTTATATATTTCGATATTATTATTTTCAAATTTTAATTCATTTTGACAAAATAATATTAAATTATATTGTGCAAGTTTATTTCCATTTTGTGCTGATTTTTGGTACCAATAATAAGCCTTTTTTAAATCTTTTTTTACTTCTTCACCATTTTCATAATAATATCCTATTATATTTTGTGCATCACTATAATTTTGTATAGCAGCTTTGTTATACCAATAAAATGCTTTTTCTAGATCTTTTTCCATACCCCATCCATTTTGATAACATTTGCCTAAATTATATTGTGCAAATACATTTCCATTCTCTGCTGCTTTTTGATAACAATTGAGTTTCATTAAGGAGCTTGGTAAGGTTGGTGAGCTAGTTATTTTGGTATCAAAGCAACCGAGTATTGTTAAGGAATTTGGTAAGGTTGGTAAATTAGTTATTTGAGTTTCATTACAATAGAGTTCTGTTATAGAGTTTGGTAAGGTTGGTAGGCAAGATATTGGAACATTATTACAATTGAGTATTTTTAATGAGGTTGATAAGGTTGGTAAACTAGTTATTTTGGTACCACCGCAACTGAGTTTCGTTAAGGAGTTTGGTAAGGTTGGTAAACTAGTAATTTGAGTTTCATTACAATAGAGTTCTGTTAAGGTGTTTGGTAAGGTTGGTAAACTAGTTATTTGAGTTTCATAGCAACAAAGTACTATTAAGGTGTCTGGTAAGGTTGGTAGGCAGAATATTGGAGTATTATTACATTCGAGTATCTTTAAGGAGTTTGGTAAGGTTGGTAAGCTAGTTAACTGAGTTTTATAACAACAGAGTATTGTTAAGGAATTTGGTAAGGTTGGTAAACTAGTTAATTGGGTATCATAGCAACTGAGTAATGTTAAGGAGTTTGGTAAGGTTGGTAGGCAAGATATTGGTGTATTATTACAAAGGAGTCCTGTTAAGGAGTTTGGTAA